AGTGCTTTTTTATTTCTAGATTAATTCTGCTCTATTGAACAAATTAACTGGGAGTCCTCAAAAAGTTGATAGCAAGTAGAATTGAAAGTAAAAACCAAAAAAAAAGTAAACAATTTCTCAACATAAGCTTCATCAAATTCAAGACATTGTTTTTAACCAATACAAGCCATTTAATCTATCTCAGGGTCTTAGGAGTTTAACCATGTCAATGCAATCTTTTTTTTTACCTTATTAATTGAAGAAAAATGGGTGCCTTTTAAAGGTAATTTGAGAAACCACAAAGGAGCCAAAAGGAGTCCATCAGGATGCTAAATTGGATGTCTCATGATTTCTCATTGGAGCTCTTGCCAAATTGTTCGTGTTTGATGAGAGGGATGAACAGGAAGGAAAGTGCATTCTTGTGGCAAAGAACTCTCTGATGAAGCTTTCCTGGGAATTTTTCTTTTAAAGAGTTAGTTGACTCTTAAAATACTGTCTTGATATTATCATTCTTTGAAAGTCAACAAGTTAGATGCTTTGAGCATCCCCCAAACTGCTGACCCATGCATTTTTGCTCTGATTTAACCACTTCCACCTCGTGATAGCCACTGGCTTTGATTATGCTGTCTTCAGGCTACCAGTGAAACCACGTTTTATCTCCAGTTACTCTTCTTTCAAGAAATGCTTCAGGATTTTGATGCCACTTTTTAAAAATTTTCCATCAAGACCTCTGCTTTTGTCTGTACCTTATCTGTATTGCAAAAGTTTGGCGCCTATTGAGCAGTAAGTCTGCTCAACCTTAGTTTTTCAGTCAGAACCATGTAAAATGAAAACTTTGAGATGTCTATGGTTTCTGTTGTTAATCATCTGCCCTCTTCAATCAGGACATGAATGTTTCTTTACAAATTCACATGATGGTCTGCCACTATGAGTTTCATCCTCAACACTGTCTGGTCCCTTCTTAAAATGAGAGTATATTGGAGTAAAATTACAATTTAAATAAATCTCCTTCAATTAGGGTTTTGATTACTTCTTGTTATTGGTAGGTGTCAAGGAGTCTGTTCTGACCCATAGTAATCTCATGTACAACAAAACACTGCCTGGTCCTGCACCATCCTCACAAGTGTTCCTATGCTTGAGCCCATTGTTGCAACCACAATGCCAATTCATCTGGTTGAGGGCCGTCCTCTCTTTTGCTGCCCCTCCACTTTACCAAGATGATGTCCTTTCCTAGGAACTGGTCTCTCCTGACAGTGCAATGTCCCAAATGCTTGAGACAAAGTCTTACCATCCTTGCCATACTTCTTCCAAGATACTTTTTTTTTGTCCTTTTAGTAGACCATGATAGTCAATATTCTCCACCACAATTCAAATGCATTGGTTTGGATTCTTCTCTGTTCTTCCTTATTCAACGTCTTTCACATGCACAAGGCTATTGAAAATACCATGGCTTGGGTCAGGAGCACCTTAGTCCTCCAAGCAACACTCTTGATTTTCAATACTCTTAAGAGGTCTTGTGAAAACGGTTTGCCTAATGTAATGCATCTTTTGATCTCTTGACTGATGCTTCCATGAGCATTTATTGTGGATCCATGCATGACAAAATCTTTTGATAACTACAACTTTTTCTCCATTTATCATTGTACCCATTGGTCCAGCTGTGAGGATTTTGGTCTTCTTTACATTGAGTTTTAATTCATACTGAAGGCTGTAATCCTTGATCTTTAGCAGCATGTGCTTCAAACCCTCCTCGCTTTAGGCAAGCAAGGCTTATCATCTGCACATTGCAGGTAAAGAAGACTTCCTCCAATCACGATGCCACATTCTTCTTGATATGATTCAGCTTCACTGATTACTTGTTCAGCATAGATATTGAATAAGTATGGTGAGAGGATACAACCACGCTGCACATGCAGTATTCCCTGGTTTTGTTCAAACAACTGCTTACTGATCCACGCACAAGTTCCATAGGAGCACAATGAGGTGTTCTGGAATTCCCATTCTTCTCAAGGTTATTCATAGTTTGTTATGATCCACTCAACTGAATGTCTCTGCGTAGTCACTAAGACACAAGTAAACATTTTTATGGTATTTGTAAGTCACCTTCACAAAGTATCTTGTGAGATGATACTGAGATTCTCAAGGCAATGATCTCCATTGTTGTTAGGTGCCATCTAGTAGGTTCTGACTCATAGAGACCATAGTAACAGAAGAAAACACCACCCAGCCCTGCAGCATCCTCCCAATTGTCCCTGTGCTTGAGTCCACTCTTGCAGCTCTGTGCCAATCCAGCTAGTTGAGGGTCATGCTCAGTGGCCCAAGCAGATGCCCAAGGCTTCCAAGATCTTTGTTTCATTTTACTTTGTGGTTCTGGGAAACTTCGGTTGTGTTGGGGGGAAACTCAGCAACACACAAAGGGGTTTTAAAAAAAATATTTTACTGTAATCACTTGAGAGCTTTGTTCAGACCTTCTCCATATTGTGTGATGGGTTTAGTTACTGTCCACCCCTTATAACTAAGCTCAAATACAGCTGCTTCTCCTACACTACTCAATGACCACATTCTGTTCCATACATAAGTGAAATTAATAGCATCTTTATGATTTCCATTACACTCTTGTGATCAGTTAAACAATTACTACACACTATGTTCTTTTTTGCGGGGAGGAAGTGGGGGGGGGGCTTTACACTTGTTAGTTTTCTTTTGCCAATAAGAAAGCAACTCAATAAATGATCTTTGTATTTATCCTCTGTGGATCCCTTCCTTGTTCTACCTCCTGTTCCAAGGGGAGCAGCAAAGTAACTGTTGTATAGGCGGTACAATAATTTCTGTAGATAACGTGGCCTACTAATTGTTCCTTGGTTTAAATTTCTTTCAAATGTATGCCTAGAAATTCTGACTATCAAGCTCTCCAACCCTATAGCACTGGGATAGATGACTAGATCACCACTTATTAAAACAGGGGCTGCCTTGAGTAAGCTAAAAAAGACAACAGGTCTTCCAAAGGGACCTTGGATAGATCCATTTCTCTAATTCAAGAAATCATGCAATATCGCCAATGCATTTATTGAACTTGACAGTTGTTAAACAGACTGACTTGAATAATTTATTAAATTTGAATAATTTTAAAGTTTTAAAACTAGATATATAATATTGAAACCCTTTTAAAATGCAAGTCGTAAGATCAACATTAAAAAAAATTCAAGTGTTTTTCCCTTACATGAGACATTTTGCTCAGTCTAGAAACATTAACAGTTAGAATGACTTCCAGGTAATCATCCTTAGGAATGTGTAGGTGGAGAAAGCAAGAGTCAGGCTTTGATAGTGAATTAAAATGCACTTAAAGGAGAAAAATGTGGACTAAAATCTATACAGTATTTGTGACTTTTTACTAATGCCACTTATAGTCTTCCACAGTCAGCTAATCCAGTGTGCTTCCACAGATGACCCCCACACTCACCAGAGATCATAAGTGAATTCTAGCCCCACCCATCAGAAGATGAACCGTTAGTCAATTTTATAACAGACAAAATCTATTAACAGATAAAACAAAGCAATGAGATAAAAACCCAACCAACCAGAAGCGTTAGCTTCAATTAACTGTCAGAAAAAAAATGAAGCTCAACTCTTACATTTGAAAACAACAACAACAACAACAACAACAGTATTTTGACTTCTGGGAGAGTCGGTCTTAGCCCCCCTCACCAAGAGGTTCCAAGCTAAGACATCAAGAAAGCAGAGAAGCTGCTTCTCCAAGCCAGTCAAGTGCACTGAGGAAGATACCCTGCTGCTTGCCTGTGTTCCTCGTCCCACTCTCAGACCCGCTGCACCGCTGGGGTCCGAGGTAGCTTCTCTCTGAGAGCGGTTTTAAGTCTCCCAAGGAATCGTGACTATGACAAGGAAACAAAGCAAAAAGGCAGCAGGATTTAACCTCAGCAGCCTTTCTGAGAGATGTCTAGTCCCGAGGACTTTGTGATCTCCAAACTGGTGAATACCTGTTCAAAAGGGGAAAAATAAATAAACGTGTGTTTACACATTAGTATTGCTTAAAGAGAAACATTTGTAATATCATATTAGCCTAAGGAAAAAAAAGATGTGTTTCCAAAGGAAGCAATTACTAATATAAATACTAGTAATGTACTTTATAATAGCTTTTTTTAGACTACACCAAATACAACCAAGAACAACAAATATTCCTGCTTCTGTACCTCTCCACATGTGGGGTGAATTCCAATGGTGTTATCAAGCAGCTGTTTTGTAAGACCACATTTCATTGCAGCTGCAAATCCTTGGGTAATTTCGCCAGCATTTGGTCCAAAGATATGAAAGCCGATCACCCGATCCTTTAATACAGGCACAAAACAAAAAGAAGCCACATCGATCAATAGTTTGCATAAGAATCTATTCACTCCAAGTTCATAGTTAAAATTTACAGCATCTACTATATAAAAAGAACTCTAGTACCGACTTATCAGAGAACCTTACCATGGGCCACTGTAAGACTGTTCAATGAGGCAGTAAATGCACGTCCAGAGTTAATTTGCACTCAAATTTGCAAAATCAAGCAATTTATGGACTGTTGGAAGGAGTTCATTAGTAGGATGTGCATTCCTAAATTATGCAGAAGTGGCAAATAACAACATAAGAAATCTGAATTAAAGTCCTCCACTGGAATAACTCTAAAACAGCAGCTCTTATTGGAAATGCCACTCTTGGTGAGGGAAGCCAGGGGCCTGGTTCCTAACAGGAGTGGTCTACCCTGGGCACCCCAGAGACTGCAGGTAGGAAATGCAGGGTGCCTCCTCCATCGGAGGGGCAGCTCGGGGTGCCATCGCGTCCCCAGGAAAGGGCTCATTCTCGGCTGTCTGCTCCTCATGTGCTTTGTCATCGGAGCGCGCTCTTTCTTTTGATTTTCAAGTCAACGTGTGCAACAGAAGATGAAGAACAGAAAGGGGCAACGGAAGTTATAGGCATCTTAAGAGTCTTCCCGTACTGATATTCTGGAAGAATAGAGGGTCAAAGCACCCTACTTCCTGGCCCTCCAGAGCAGTGTTTCTCCGGAAATGCAAAAGGTCACAGGGATGGGGTTTGGGGAAGTGAAAATGCAATTTATGGGCTCCACTAACTGAATTGGAATTGAGGAGACCAGGTAGTTTTAAACAGACATTCCTGTGACTGGCCTGGCCATTAACATTTGAACCCCACTATAAAATTCAAAGATGCTTCGAGCTATCTGATGGGGATCCAGAAAAAGGATGGGGACAGTGGCTGCCCCGAGGAAACACTTGATGCTCTCCTCCCTATCACTTTCCTTTCCTTTAAGCTGCCAAAAAACAGTAAACACAGTTACGCTATTGCAATCATTCCAATTCTCAGATCCACTGTTTCAAATAAGTACTATACTTAAAATCGCAGGAGAAAATAAGGCCTTTGTGAAATAAGTAAGTTATTTTAAAGTGGCATTTTTGAAGCAATAACCAAAGAAAAAATATACCTGAAAAGTCCTATGTAAAAATAAAAAAAAATTTTTTTATCCATGCAGATTACTAAATGCTACATTATACTGAACAAGAAGCAATGAGATGATAGGAATACAACAGAGACTAGTAGCTTCTAATTTACATGGTAATAGTGACATCTATGCAAGGAATTCCTTCTCTTTCTCACTTCTCAGTGAGATCACACACGGTAGCACATTCAGCGCTTGAGAAAATGATTCAATCAATCTACCATTATTTCTGTGGAGATTATCTGCGGTATAGACTATCCACAATGGGTTAATTAATATCACTGTCCAGCTCACTATCTTCACTACTCAGGCAACAACAACAACAAAACACATGCCAATTAGCTATCAGATATAACCTTCGTCTTCTGTCATACTGAAAAGATGAATAAAGATCCCACCTGAGAATTAAATGATAATGATTTATTTTGAAAATTTATATAAATGCCCATTACTGATGTTCATAGTTATCTCTTTTTAATGTTTTATCTCGCCAGATATATACTCTTAAATGGAGAGAAACCAAGTCCTCATACTCTCACTATTTTTTTTAAAATCACAACTTACAGTTCTGTTAGGTAGTTAGAACAGGGACCAAGGGCATGCTCAGAGATTCGCTCAGAGATTTGCCCCAGACAGGAAGGAGTGTTACACCAAGGTGGGCGGTACACCTGGACTGGCCCCATCTAGGCCAGAAACAGTTCCAATTATAGGTTGGCTACAATTTTGATGTTCACCTCAGTTATAAAGAAGGCAAAAACTATTATAAGAGATTATCCATCCAATTGCTTCTTCTCTAATGAAAATCTTAACTGGGACTTAATTAACTAACAAGTTTTTGCTTTGTGCAAGCCTAGCTTTCTAGAGGTATTCTGACATCACCTTCAATTTACAAAATGCATACACACATATACCTAAACTGATGATCATAATTTTCAAATCATCAAATTCTAAATTGCCAACTTATATATATTTGAAAAGAGAATAATTTCAATACTATATTTTGACAGAGGATTATTAAAATTCAATTACAATCCACTTGTTCAACCTCAGTGAATTAGATGGAGCTTCAAAAAGGTTGTGGACAAATTCCATTATCTTTCCATTTCATTTTTCCACAAACTTTCTAAAGTCCCCTTGTACATTATTAACTGGATAACAATCTGAATAATGTCTGCCTTGTTCTCAAAGCTATCTTTAAAGAAATTATAGAAGTACAAATACAAGAGTAAAAGTCACATTTTAAAGTAACAGCATTTCAGCTTCCTACCATATTACATACATTGTCAAGCCTATTGCAAATTATCTTTGCATAACAAGTATTGTTGTCTCTGTCAGCAACCGTCCACTCAAGAGGCCAGAACAAAGTATGATAGACCTGGAAGACACAAAGAAAGGGGACAGGGCCAAGGTTAATGCATATTCAAACCACTCCTTGAAATACTGTTTAATTATAAGAAGAAAATGTTCTCTAGAACAGCTTTTGGAAATTTAAAATTTTATGATTATAAATGTATCTGGTAGGGAAGGGTATCTGGGCAACCAAACAAGTATGTTTACCTTTGTCTGCACTGCTTGCTACCAGCTCAAAAAAGTTATATTAACTAAATTCAATGTTCATACATCTGTATAAAACTGAAGGAACCCCGGTGGCACAGTGGTTATGCACTGAACTGCTAACTGCAAGGTCAGTAGTTTGAAACTGCTAGCTGCTCCTCAGAGAAAGACAGGCTTTCTACTCCTGTAGAGCCTTGGACACTCCCGGGCAGTTCTCACCCTATTCTATAAGGTCTCTCTGAGTCAGCATGGACTTGCTGGCAGTGCGTTGGTTTCGTATATTTGTTTGGCTGGTGGTGTAGTGGTTTACAGCCCAAGGGCCTACCAATGGATGAGTGCAATGTGGGACACACAAGGGGGCTTCAAACAGTCCAGGAAAACAAAATAATTAACGAAAATTTTCTATGACTTTTTAAAGTTCCATCATACATGCATACATTGGACTACTACTCCGCTACGAAGAAACATGAGTGCAAAAACATCTCAAAACATGAATCAACCTGGAGAACACTGTGCTTACTGAAATAAATACACCACAAATACCTCTTCTCCCAGTGTCATGTGTCTGCAAACATTCCTTCGCTTTGGCTACTAGCCCCTACTTCTACCTTCTATTTCACACAGCCTTCTCCTTTTGTGTCTCATTGAAGGCACTTCCCATTGGACTTTGGGCCCACCCGTGCAGTCCAAAATGACCTTATCTTGAAACCTATCACTTAATTACATTTTCAAAAACCAAGTTTACAAATAAAGTAATATTCACAAGTTCTAAGGATTAGGATGTACATATCATTTTGTAGAGAAAAATCTGAACACTGCAGTTGGCTATAATAAAAAGACAGGTAATAGCAATGTAGATGGGGATATGGAGAAAAAAAAACCCCATATAATGTCAGTGGGATTGTAAAATGGTGCCACTGTTTTGGAAAAGAGTCTAGCAGTTCCTAAAAAAATTAAACATAGGTTTACCCTTATGACCTAGCAAATCTATTCCTGAAGAAATGATAACATAAGCCCACATATAAAAGTCCACAGCAGGATGATTCAAATTAGCTAAAAAAAAAAAAAAAAGAGTGGTAACAATCCAAATGTCAATTAAGTGATGAAAGGGCAAATAAAATATAGCAATCTCCATATGATGAAATATTACTCGGCAATAAAAAGAAGTGATGTGTTGGTTCATGTGACAACATGAACACATGCTACAGGAAACCAATCAGAGACACACTGAAATCCACTCGTGCATAACAGAGATGTCTACAGAAACAGAAAGTAGATTAACCAGGGCCAGAGGTATGGAGGTGAGGAGAAATGGAGATCGACTACTAGTAGACACAGAATTTCTCCTTGGGGTAATGAAAATTAGTGTAAAAGTGACTCTGTGTGGTCACAAAAGTCTATGAATATACTAACAAACCATTGAATTGCATACTATACGTGACAAATTATAAGTTATGTGAACTATAACTCAATAAAGCTATTATTTTAAAAACTGAACTTTTCACTACTGAACCACACAGTAAATGATGACAATTACTCTCCTGCACAACTGTTTATTTTCCAAACCCTAGCAAGATTCTTCAAAGAAATGGAAAAACTAACCACCAACTTCATATGGAAAAAAAAGATGCCGAGGATAAATAAAACACTACTAAAAAAAAAAGTAGAAGGCTTCTCTCCTCATTTCCAAAACCAAGGTAATATAGCCAAGGTAATCAGAGCACCTTGGTATTAGTGTGCAGTGAAGGAAATTCAAACCAATGGATTAGAACAGAGGACCCAGGCATACAAATAAGCATCTACATACATCTGATGCTTGATAAATGAATAAAAAACATTAAATAGGGAAGAGAGTGTCTTTTCAACAAATGGTCCTGGAAAAGGTGGCTCTTCACCTGTAAAAGAATAAAACCTATACTTCACAATACATACAAAAACGAACTCAAAGTGGATCAAAGACCTAAATTAAAATTAATTTCAAAAATTTAAAACATAAGAAAATTAAAGACTTAGGAGTATGATAACCATTGAAAAAATAAGGGCAAATTTAAGGGCCCTAATACAAGGCATAAATACACTACCAAGCATAATGGAAACACTAACATTACAGAAGACCAAAGACTAAGACCGCCTAAAATATGACATTTATGTATATCAAAAGACTATCGAAAGAATAAAAAGAGAACTCACAGATTGGGGGAAAAGCTTTGGCAATGGAATATCAGATATAGGGCCAATCTCAAAAAATCTATAGAAAACTGTTTTACTTTAATAAGAAAAAACACAAATACTACAGTCCAAAGATGGGCAGAAGACATGAATAGACAATTTACTACAGAAGATATCCAGGCAGACAACAATCATATGCAAAAATGCTCACAATTTATATACAAGAAATATAAATTAAAATGATGATAGGTGGTAACCTAACACCACACCAACAGTAAAATTCCTAAAAACAGAAAATAACAAATAAAAAAAAAATTTTTTTAAATAACAAATGCCAGGGTGTATGTGGGGAGATTGGAGTCCTCATACACTGCTGGCGGGAGTGCAGAATTGTACAGCCACCATGGAAAACAGTACAGCATTTCCTGACATACATGGGAATAGATTTACATAACCCTGCAACCTTTTCTACTCAGTACATACCCCAAAGAAATAAAGAACAAAATATGGATAGATGAACATTCATCCTTATTGCAATGTTTCTATAACAACAGAAAGATGGAAACAGCCAAAAAGCCCATCTGTGGAGGATGGTTACAAAAAGAAGCAAAGTAACACTGAAACCAACTTCAATGCTTTTGTAGCAAATGGGCTAGTTACAAACAGTTTAAATAAAAAAATTAAGTTAAGTTTTCTTCTCTCTCTGAATACTACTTCTCTACCATTGTTAGCATTGTTTACTGAAAGGTTATGACTTATACTTAAGTTGGGCCATCTTTGCTGCCCACTAATATTAAATTGTGTCTATCTCCTATGTATTAAAATATATTTACCTTACTTTTCTTATGTTATTAACTCTATCTTCAGTCAGTCATGTAGTTAAGCTTCCAATGCACAGCTGC